TGTGGGAACCACGCTTCTTTCACCATCGTGTCCCCTTCAGTAATGACAGAACTGCTGCCGAAGAGCTCCAGGGACTGGTGGGAGGAGAGGGGCCTTGCAAGAGGGCTGGGGGTTCCCTCCGGCGGTCTGGGGGGAGTGATAAGGAGATGAAGCCCCGGCTGTGGGCTCGACGCCTTTGTACCTCGCTGTGCCTGAGGGGCTCCCCTCCCTTCCTCCTTTCCTGAAGAAAGGGGACAGAAATGGGGGCAATAATAGTACCTACCTCATGGAATTGTGATGAGGGTTAGATTAGGCAACATAGAAAGCGTTTAGAACAATATGCCTGACGCAGCGTAAGCGCTCAGTGATGTTCCTTCTTACTACTTTCTTTTTCTTCATACTTATTTTTTTCTGATTAAGAAAGCAATGCTTATTTGTGGTAAAGTGTGAAAAGGTAGGGAAAAACTCACCACAGTGAGGGAGTCAGATATATGAACAAATAATAAGAGACGAGGAATAAGTGCAATAAGGAAAGTGAGCGCGAGATGATGCAGAGGCAGCTCAGAGGAAATGAACTCGGTGGGGGCAGAAGGGGACAAGCATAATTTCTGGAAAAGCTCCACAGAAAAGGTAAGCTTACGAGGAGGCTTTCAAAGATGAACAAGAGTTTGTTAGGGGGACAAGGAGGGGAGGGCGTTCAGGAGGAAGGAACAGCATGTGCAAAGGCACGGAGGCATGAAACAGCACGTGTGCTCCTGTAACCGTGGTTTTGCATGGCTCCAGTGTACAGTATGTGGGGGTTGGGACAGTAAGAGGTGTGCTATGAGGCAGGGTGGGGAAGTAGGCAGGGCTAGGAAATGAAAAGTCCTGCCCCTCAATAGAGTTTGAACGTGGACCTAAGGAATGAGAAGGGGCCACTGAAAGGTTCAGAGGGGGCGTCATATACACACTTAGCATTTTAGAGAGCTCATGTAGAGGTGCCAAGAATGGGTCGGAGAGCAAGGCTTTGGAAGCAAAGACACTTCCGTAATGCTAGGGCCAGAGTCCCAGAACGAGTTAAGGACAGCCCAGGCCAACACAGGGGTCAAGGGTGAGCAACACAGGATGGGCTGGATATTGCCTGACAACTGTAGGGGTGAGGAGTTGCGGAGAAACGCTGCATCCAGAACAATTCCCAGGTTTCTGGCTTAGCTGACTGGGAAGTGGATGATGGCAGCAACCAAAGTAGGAAATACACAAAGAAAAATTTGCTTGTGGAGAGAAACCACTCTGGTGACCAGCTTTATCTTTGTATGTAAAAAAATCATCCATGTAGTTTTCTTAAGTAAGCGCTACACCCAAGGTGGGGTCGAACCTATGACCTGAGATCAAGAGGCACATGCTCTAACTACTGAGCTGGCTCTAACACTGCCCCTAGTCCGTATAATTTTTTATTCATTTGAAAATCTTCAGTTCTTCATTACTGGCATATTTAAAACAATGCAGCTGGGGCGCCTGGGTGGCGCAGTCGGTTAAGCGTCCGACTTCAGCCAGGTCACGATCTCGCGCTCCGTGAGTTCGAGCCCCGCGTCGGGCTCTGGGCTGATGGCTCAGAGCCTGGAGCCTGTTTCCGATTCTGTGTCTCCCTCTCTCTCTGCCCCTCCCCCGTTCATGCTCTGTCTCTCTCTGTCCCAAAAATAAACGTTTGAAAAAAAAAAAATTTAAAACAATGCAGCTGACTGGGCTCTATTTTTCTTTTTCTGAAGTACAAAACATTTTTCTTCTCCACCACTGCTTTGTGATTCATACTTCTGTCAGCCGGCATGTTCAGGTAAAACCAGGGTTTTCCCTTACTTGGAAACTTACCACGTAATATCCTTTCTCGGAACTATTTGAGTTGGATCTCAAGAACAGATATGACTTGGGATGGGTGAGAGGCATTAGGAATGAAAATGCTTTTGCTATGGCAGATAATGTCCTTGGAAATCTTGCCCATCCCTCTCATTTCACAGATGAGAGGCAAAACCAGAAGCTAACCATGGAAGGCAGAAACGTACAAGGAGGCAGAATTCAGCTCAAATTAACTTCCAGCAAGTAGAATGCTCAACAGGAGAACTTGCCTCCTTTTGCTGGGTATTACAGTGAGTCCTCAACCTGAAGACAGTAGAGAATGGATGGTCGTCAGTGAGGCACTAAGGCAGGAGGTTGAAAATGGTTTCTTCTTTTTAAAGTTTATTTATTTTGAGAGGCAGACAGAGTGAGCAGGGAAAAGGCAGAGGGAAAGGGAGAGTCCCAAGCTCCGTACTGTCAGTGCAGAGCCCTGTGTGGGTCTCCATCCCACCAACCACGAGATCATGACCAGAGCCGGAATCAACAGTCGGCCGCTTAACTAAGCCACCCAGGCCCCCCTGAAGATGGTTTCTAAGGCCCTCTTGGACTGATTTTTATTGATTGTGAGAAGCCAGAGCAGAACAGGGGGAACACTGTGTGAGCAAACCCATGGGCATAAATGTAAGGTGTGGAGGGGGCCCTGTTATATTACCACTATTTGATGTGACAAAAATTCTTTGCTTCACCAAAGCAAACTCAGGGTCCTGAACCTTCTCCTGGGCCCATCTGCGCATTTCCTTGTAAAATCTAGTTCTAGCAAGAACCCTGTGAAGTCAGGATGAGTCCCTCATCCTCCACCATCACCCCAGGGTGGGGGACCTACTCACCCGGACCCATCTTCAGCAAGAATCCAGTTAGGGGTCAGTTTATCCAAAACCCCTCTTGCTCCCCCTTACGTATATTTTTTTCTCTTAGGAATTTTCTATTCACTGACTACCCTCCTTCCCCACCATCCTTTGGTTGGTTATGAATTCCCACCTGACCAACAGTATTCAGACATTAGCCCAGTTCTATGGAGAGGCCTCTGTTCCCCTACTGCAAGAGTACTGAATAATAAAAAATATTTTTATTGCCCTACTGACCAGCACTTTTTTACAAATCTGGTTTTTAGATGTGTGAAGAGAAGACATGCAGAGACCAGCTCAAGGAAAGCCTGGGCTACGAGGCTAAGGATTTCGCATTTTATTCTCTAAGAAGGGAGAAGATACTGAAACTTTTTGATAAAGGAGTGACAAGATAGGTGTAGTGTTTTAGGGAAACTGAGAGCAAATAAAGATAATAATCCCTTTAGGAGACCATATACTCCAGGGGAGGAGTAGTAAGGACCTGAACCCTGAGCTTAGCAGCAATGGAAACAAAGACGACTATGAAAGAGATGTAGAACTGTAAGGGACAAGACAAGGCCATCACTTGGGTGAGGGAGGCTCCCTCTTCACACGCCTCCCCACTCACCACACAGCCGTCCGGGACACGTGGTCCAGCTTCTCACTAAGTAGAGCAACCCAGGGTCTTCCATTCTTGGGTCTCCTTGTCCTACCTCACCCAGCAAGTTCACTGGTTTCCTCATCTGTACAATGGGGTTACTATGAACATCTGCTTCACACACAGGCTGTGACGATGACCTGGCTTAATCATCTGAAAACCACTGGAAAAGGGCCAGGCGGAGTATATGCCATATGCCAGCTACTATTACTACCATCACTTGGAAATCCCACCTCTCCCACGACCTCAATTCTGAAGCCTTCCCCAGTCCATGCTTACTGAACCCGCCCAGGACTTGACACAATTCAGATGTAGGAAGATGAGAAGAACCAAAGAAACCTCTGATCTAACCCCGAGTTTACAGAAATCTTAAGAGGGGGCAGTTTATGGGAAAGATGTATCTGGTTTGAAACTTGTAACGTGAAACTTTTAGAGGTCCAAATATAAATGCCCTGCAGTCTGCTGGAGACCCAAGACTGGAACTTGGGAGGGACTAGAATCACAGGTGCAAACTTAAAACTTATTCACATAGAGAGAATAGTTGAGACCACAGGAGTAAGTGGGTTCCAAGGGTAATGGTGTAGAAGAGACAAAATGGCATGATGACCAAACATTCCTTTGAGTACTCAGGGAGTGAGAAAAGAGGAATCATTATGGGAAATAGGGATAATCAGGAGAATCAGATGAATAAAATGTTATGGCAACTTCAAAGATATTTAAAAAGGGGCGTCTGGGTGGCTCAGTTGGTTTTAAGCATCCAACTTCAGCTCAGGTTATGGTCTCACAGTTCGTGAGTTCCAGCCCCACATCAGGCTCTGTGCTGACAGCTCAGAGCCTGGAGCCTGCTTCAGACTGTCTCCCTCTCTCCATGCCCCTTCCCTGCTCACGTTCTGTCTCTCTCTCTCTCTCAAAAATGAACATTAAAAAAAAAAAAAAAAAAAGATACTTAAAAAATATGGACACCTGAGTGGCTCAGTCAGTTGAGCATCTGACTTTGATTCAGGTCATGATTTCACGGTTTGTGGGTTCAGGCCCCACTGGGCTTTGTGCTAACAGCATGGGGCATGCTTCAAATTGTCTCCCATTTTCTCTGCTCCTGCTCTCAAACATTAAAAAAATAATAATTCTTAAAAAGATATTTAAAAAATAAACCCAATTTCATGCAGTGGTCCAGATCAGTCCCAGGTCTGAGATGCCCTGAAGGAGGGAGTCATGAGGTCTTTGCGTGGCGGGGGAGTTCAGCGTGTGGGCAGAGCAGTGGTCGATCATGTGCAGGGACTATTCATCAGCTAGCAGCTCTGCCTGTTCAAGGGTCTTTTCCAGAGCTCCGCAACAGGAATCTCCACGTAAGTGAACATGCTCGGCCCACCCCAAACCGTCCAGCCTGGAACCTCTTCTCTAAAACATACAATGTTTTACAAGATCTTGCTCAACTTTATCTCTTCCCAGAAATTTTCTCTTTTCCATTACTGGTTGGTTCATCCTCTTCAGTGTATATGTTTAGGCTCCATCCTCAGAAATTATTTTATAGGTCTGACTTGGGGGGCTCGGAAACCTACATTACTAATAAGCAGCCTAATGATTCTAATATGGATAGTTCATGGTCTACACTTTGAGGAACAAAATCAACCTGCAAGTACGTGGTGACTGTCAAAGAAGAGCCAAAAGAATGAGTTTCATTATAGCTTTAAGAAATTAAAAATATATTAGGTGATCACAATATGTGCTCCCAAGTTTTTTAGAGGCCAGTTCCAGACACTTCCTCATCTTTTGCAGAAGACTTTCATTTCAACCTTCCTTCTTGTGACTGGAACACCCTCCCACCAAGCGCCCAAACAAGAAGTCTACATATGCCCATTGCTACCCAACAATGTACACACTTGTCAGGGGCCCCACACCCGGTAACACCTTTCCAGTTTTGGTTGCTGGTCTTAAGAGCACACGGCACACAAAATCCGACGTGTGGGTATGAGATGGGAGCAGCTGTGTAAATGGGAGTCTGTGGCAGTACCTGGAGTCTTGAGATAAAGAGGTCATGTGTTTGTGACTGAAAGAAAAATAGTTGTCTGTAAAAAATTTTAAAGATTCATCTTTAAAGATTCCATTTATAGTCACTGTTTCCTATTTTAACTGAAATAAATTTGTGCTCCTGCACAAAAACACACTCAATCTCTCCTTCTAAGAAACTATTCTGTTTAATAGTGCACTTCATTTATGCTACAGGATGAGCAGGATTGGGAAGACAGAACCAAAGATCATCCCTTCAGCTGGGAAACTCGGGAGCTCCATCCTAACCCAGCAACGCGGCCGTCAGGCCAGAGACTCCCTTCTCTGGGCTTTGCTTTTTCTTTGCATTCATACTTGGCTGCTGAAGTCAGAAGTGGGGTCAGGAGGGATCTGGCTGCTGGGGCCAGGTGTCATAGGTCACAGGGGACAGAGGGCAGGGCAAGCTGGCTGAGTGAGCTCCATAAAAGCATTCCTAGTAACTGGGGGTTTGGATTAAATCGCTTTCCAACACAGGAGTGGGGAGAGGAACAGGGAGAGAGCAGGAGGGAAACCAGGCCAATGCCAAACGCTTCTGCTCCTCTCTGTTAGACTTACTGGTATTCAGATGGATTTCGCAGCCATATCTATCACAGGGGGGAAGTACAAGGAGTTCTCCAACAAAACTGCCTGCCTTGCTGCTCTTGGAAACCTGGGCTTGCTGCTCCAAGAGCCCTGCAAAATAGTTACCACAGAAAACCTCTTGGGGTTCCCCCCCCCCCAATAAAATAACACATCCCTCAGCACCAAGTTTTTCCATAATTAATGAAGTCATGAGACAACAAAAAAATAGCACATTCCTTATCAAAACTTAAAGCTGGATTAGGAACAGTGGCTTTGAAATACAGCCTCCATTTCCCCTTCTTATCAAATAGGACTCAGAACATTCTTTCCACTGCCTTCTGTGCTGACTATACTGACTCCGACTACAGGAATCCTTGGAATTTTATTCCTACTGTGCTTCCATTCCCCACCTTGGAAAGAAAGGCTCCTCTGGTGTGAAAGAAATGGTCTAGTGCAAACTCCCTTCCAGAATGGAAGGTGATAAGTCCCAGAGCCTCCCTCTCATTCGCAGCACTTAACCTGCCGCTCGCCACCTGGTGTCATTCTTGGGGAAACAGACTAGGTAGCTTCATCACTGTGCCAGGAGGATTTGCCCAATTTGCCCCATTCTCTAAAGTGAAAGGGTTGAGTCGGAAGGGATACATTCTAAGTTATTCATACTCATATAGTAAGGCAGGAGCTCTTTAGACTCAGAGGAAGTGAGGAAAACAGGTGTGTGGCTGTCTTTCATGTAGACTCTCGGATATTTAATTCAGCAGTAACTCTGAGAGAATTTTTGCTCATTCCCATCACATTCAAAGGCTTCTCTCCAGTGTGAATTCTCTGATGGCGAACAAGGGCTGAGCTATACCTAAAGGCTTTCCCACACTCACTACATTCATAGGGATTCTCCCCTGTGTGGATTCTTTGATGCTGAATAAGGCCTGAACTATAGGTAAACTTTCCTCCACATTCCATACATTCATAGGGCTTCTCTCCAGTGTGGATTCTCTGGTGCTGATAGAGGTGTGAGCTCTGGCTGAAGGCCTTCCCACACTCGTTACATTCATAGGGCTTCTCTCCAGTGTGGATTCTCTGGTGATGGATGAGGGTGGAGCTCCTGCTAAAAGCCTTCCCGCATTCATTGCAAGCATACGGTTTCTCTCCAGTGTGGATTCTCTGATGATGAGTGAGGGTAGAGCTCCAGCTAAAGGTTTTCCCGCATTCGTTACATTCATAGGGCTTCTCCCCGGTATGGATCCTCCGATGCAGAATGAGGGCAGAGCTACAACTAAAGGTCTTCCCACAATCATTACATTCGTAAGGTTTCTCTCCGGTGTGGATTCTCTGATGCTGAATAAGGTGTGAGCTCTGGCTGAAGGCCTTCCCACACTCACTACATTCGTAGGGTTTCTCCCCCGTGTGGATTCTCTGATGTTGAATAAGGTCTGAAGTTCTATTAAAGCTCTTGCTACATTCATCACACTTATGGGGTCTGTCTCCCATAGGAAGTCTCTGATGCGAAATGAGGTTAGGACTCACAGTGAAGCTGTTCCCAAAATCATTATATTTCTCACTTCTCTCTCCTGCAGGGCTTAGCTTTTCCTCAACTGTCACTTGACCAAAATCTTCTATCTTCCTATTCAATCTTTCTCCAGAGGAGTTCCCCATTTGCCTCTTTAGACTGACTTTTTGTTCATAGGCTTCTTCAAACTTAAGACCCTGAGAAATATCCTTTTGGAATCTTCCCAACAGCACCCCATGTGATCCTGTATCTTCAGAAATTTCTTGATCGTGCTCAGTTCTGGTCTCACCATCTGGCACAATACAAAATACAAACATCACTTGTCCCTTGTGGAAGAAAGAATCAAAACCAGAGGGCAGGATAATTACGAGAAGAATGTTCATAGGGCTAAAAGCACATGCCTCTTACCTGCGTGCAGACCTGCCCAGGCTGGGGGCAGCCGAGGCATGCTAAGATAATTGCCTTGAGGAAACAGTGAAGGAGAAAGGCAGGAAGCAAAATCAAAGCAAAAAGAGTTAGAAGTAAGGAGAAGGCTGGAGATGGGAAGAGAGGGAGACAGACCAGGCAAAGGCAGGGAACCAAAAACAGAAGAGAAAGGACATGCTGTTCAATGAAGTGACAAAGTCCCCACAGAGGTCAGAGACTGCAAATACAAGTGGGGAGATGGTGGCTTTCAGAAGATAGGGGAGAACAAATACAAGCAAGCAAGCACAGAAGGCTGATGGGAAACAGCAGCAGAGCAGGAAGAAGCGACAAGGGGGAGGCCACACATGCCAAACCCATGGAAACAGGCAAGATAGAGTTCAGTCCATCTCTGGGCCCTAGGCCTAGGAGGCTGTGCTAGGATGTAAGGATTTGACTCATTTGACTTCTCAGTTTTCACTACTTTGGGGTTTTCAAAGGGAGTTGCAGGGACAGAGGATGAATGAGAAGGATTTAGATAGTCAGCATTTTTACTCTGTCAATGTAAAAAGTAAAGACAGCACAATGAACGTCGGCGACAGAAACAGCTGTTTCTCCCTCATCTGAATAGGCACCTCTCAGGACCTCCTTGTTCTCAGCTCCCTTCAAACCCAGGACTCTCGACTCTTCCTCTCAATGCAGCCCAAAGATTGTGTCAAAATCCAGAAATGGAAATCCCGCCGTGTGGGAAAACATGGGATAAGGTCATGTCAAGCAGTCCCAGGGCTCAATTCCAGACCCAAGGCTTGCAGGGGCCTGAAAGGAAATGTACAGGGGTCTCCAGCGGGAGTCAGGGAGACCCCCTGGCACCGCCCAGAGAATGTTCTCACTGGAAGCGACAGTCCACAGACTAAAGGTTAAAGAAGCCAGCTGCTCCCCGAAACAAGCAGAGATCTCTACCAGAGCTGCTGCACTTGGCCCTGAACAAAGCAACAGATCCCCCAAGGTAGTACAACAGAGAAGAGAAGGAGAGTTCCAGATGTGCCCTTGGGCACAGAGCAGGGCCTCCACGTTTAGGGATCCCGACAGGCTAATCTTTTGGAAAAGGCTCTCAAATATACATTAAGAATCACAGGGAGAAAAGCACCAGATTTAGAGCTGAAAGACTAGGTTCAAGTCCTGCTACTTGCCAGCTACACATAAAGCACACGTAAAGCACTGAAGACCTCTGACTTCTCTTTCCTCGCCTGTAACATGAGGAGACTACCAGCGGCCTCCATCACTGTGTTACTGAGAGGTAGAGAGAATGTATACAAAACCTCTTTACAAACTCCAACTTACTACACAAACAGGAGTTACTATCATGATTGTTGTTAGAACTTTCTAAGATTAAGTCAATCCTTAGCTGATCATTTTGTGATTTGACTATTACTACCAAACAAGGAAACAGAAAAATGCCACGGGACTTTTACTGAGAAAGCAAACTCCTTACCCAGCGAGAACACATTTCCATAATTCTCCAGCATCACATCCCTATAGAGGTCCCTCTGAGCAGGCTCCAAACGCTTCCACTCCTTTCGGATGAAGTACACAGCTACATCCTCAAATGTCACCAGCTCCTGAAACAACACGGTCTTGCATGCAATTTCAGGGTGAGGGATGGGACTGGCAGCACCAAATAAATAAATAAATAAGTAAGTAAGTAAGTAAGTAAGTAAGTAAGTAAGTAAGTAACGGGATGAGGCCGAATGATGCGTATCTACGAGGTGGGGGGGGGAGGAGGTTATGGTGCAGGAAGAGAGGACTCCGTTATTCAGCAGGAAAGGACCATGTCCCTGATACAGCGAATCACGGTTTAGGGCACCAAATGGATGTCACTGCACAAACGTTTCCACAAAATGGGAAGGAAAAAAAAGAAGGATAAAGGAAACCACAGCTCACCTGGGACTTGGCCTTTAGCAGTGCAGCTGCCAACATCTCATCCCCCAGGCTGTCCTTGTCAGAATACGCAGGAACTTTTGAGGAAGGAAGAGCTGAAAGACAATAAAAGGGTCCGTGAGTGAAGTCATCTGCTCTCTGGCCTCCGAACCCACAGTAAACTCATGGGGTCCTGGAACAATCTAGGGCCCACTCCCTCTTACACATCTAAGTTTCATTCCCCAGTGGCTGTGAAAGGTGCTTACACAGGCACATTCAGTGTGCGTCCCTCCTCCAGAGGAGGGATGTCCAAAGCCCTGTTGATGCTGCTCTCCATCTGCCCCAGGTCCCTTCCTTCCTGTCCAGTCGCTGCTTCTCAGGGAAGCAGGCCCAGTCCTCCATTAGTGATCAGCACCTTCTTGTCCTTTCTCCCAAGCTTGGATAGAAACGTAAACATTCCTGCTCACGTCCCTTCCACCCCTCTCCGCATTTCTCAACTCAAACTCATGCATGAAGGTCTCTTAGACCAGAGGAAACCAGTAGCCTGACTGAACAGATGATGCCCATTATTCTTTCTCTTCATCCCCAAGATCAAATCTAAATACTACATGTTTCCTGTTTCTGTGCTTGATCACGTATCTTCTTCTGTAATTCTATTTTTTTTTTTTTTTGTAAGTAGGCTTCACGCTCAGTGCAGAGCCCAATACGGAGCTTGAACTCACGACCCTGAAATCAAGACCTGAGCTGAGATCAAGAGTCGGATGCTTAACTGACCGAGCTAGCCAGGTGCCTCTTCTTTAATCCTTAAGTTAACATATTTGCCCCTTAGAGACTCTAAACCCCTAGAGACACTGGATTGTGTACAATAACCTACAGAGTTCCTTACGTGTTTCTTCCTGATAAGCATACCCTTTAGGACTGTAATTGGCTCTAAGTCAGTGGCACAGTTGATGGAAGCAAAATACAAATACTTTAATGGCTTCTACTCATTTTATCCTTTTGCTTGTGACCTACAAAGCCAAGAGCCCCTCAAGTGCAAGCTCCTAAAGTACACAAACGAGGACTACGAAGTTGGCAGCTACCAAGCACCTAGAAGTCTGATTATAACGGTTTTCTTAATTCCTCATGAGGTACCAACAGCACTTCAAAAATGCCTGAGCTATAAAACCTGATAAGCTGTACATCATTATCGTCTTTAGTCAGCTTTCCCTCCAGACTATTAGCTACTGACTATCAGCTACCGACTATCAGCTACCGAAAGGGAAGGACTGTGTCTCCGCCACATGTAGATTCCAGTAGCTGGCCCAGCGCCTGGTGAATAAGAGATTCAGCGTGACTGGGGAATGTCTGAATGCAAGAATAAAAGAATCCCTGTTGCTTACCACTCTCAAGCAGGGGCTGAGGTTCCTGAGATACGCAATCAGCCTGAGTTTCCATCGGTAGGGCCAGAAGCTCTGGGTCTCTGGTCTACTATCTGCAGACTCAGCAGGAAGAAGGTTTTGAATGAGAATGCGGAAGCACTGCAGAAGCAAAGTTCAAGGCGCAATGGTTAAAAAAAAAAAAAAAACAGATGAACAAAAAAAAAAAAAAAACCTCCTGGGAGCTAGTATTTCAGGTAGTCCCCAAGACTAGCAAGAGAAAAACACAGAAACTGGGACCAGCCTTCCAGATCCTGGTAAATACATACACCTGCTCCCTGTGATGAACCTGCACGGGCACCACAGAAAGGGCCCCATTCCTAGACAACATCCCACCTCTGGCTCCCACAATGTACTGAGTGATATTTGTAATGACAAAAGATGTGGAATACTGGTGTCAAATAATGACACTGACAGAATGAAACACTAAGCAACGACTGAAATAAAAAACAGAAGAAAATGAAAAAGTGTGCACACATATATTTACAAAACGTGTATGTATTGTATCAACTTTTAAGGATGTTTAGGATAGTGCATAAAGCTAAACATTTACAGATTCTTTTTCTTTCTTTCTTTCTTTCTTTCTATCTATCTATCTATCTATCTATCAAGAGAGAGGGAGGGAGGAGGGGAAAGGGGGAGAGAGAGGGAGAGAGGGAGAGAGGGAGGGAGGGAGGGAGAGAAGGAGGAGGGGAGAGGGGAAGAGAGCGAGGGAGAGGGAGGGAGGGGGGAGAGAGAGAGGGAGGGAGGAAGAGAGGGAGGGGGGAGAGAGAGAGGGAGGAGGGGAGAGGGGGAGAGAGAGAGCAAGAGAGAGGGAGGGAGAGGGAGAGGGAGGGGGAGGGGGAGGGAGAGGGAGAGAGAGGGAGGGAGGAGGAGAGAGGGGGAGGGGGAGAGACAGAGAGGGAGAGGGGGAGAGGGGGAGGGGGGAGAGGGGGAGAGAGAGCGAGCACGAGCAGGGGAGGGGCAGAGAGGGAGAGACACAGAATCCAAAGCAGGTTCTGAGCTGTTAGCACGGAGCCTGATGCAGGGCTCAAACTTAGGAGCTGTGAGATCATGACCTGAGCAGAAATCAGATGCTTAACTGACTGAGCCACCCAGGCACCCCTCTGCAGATTTTTAAAAAAAAACCCTCACAGACAGTAGGACTAGGAAAAAAAATTTTTACTTTATTAGGCTTCTGGCTATTGTACCAAATTTTGAGGATAAGGGGCCATGAAACAGCACCTAAATAGCAGAGACTGGAAAAACTTTTCATGAGTTTTCTGGCTTCCATTTAAAAAACCCTGGGGAAATAACACCTGATGCCCAGAAGTAGGGCAAACAGCTCAGATTAATCAAGTAAGATAAATCCTTCCTCTCCTAAGATGGTTGTCTGCTTCCAGTCTCAGCCAAAGGCAGGATGCCACTGAGGGACAGGGGCTCCTTCTGTGGTCCTCGTGCAGTGTCATCACAGGGAGCAGGTGTATGTATACACCAGATCTGGAGGCCTGGTCCCCATCACCGAGAAGGCAGCAGCCAGCCTTCTTTCTATCTCCCCTTTCTCCTAATATATCTCCTTGGAGAAGAATCTAAATCCCTGATGCAGGGACCAATACTTTGTTAAGAAACATAAGCTTACTTATTACTCCCTGCTGATGTCCCACTGCTCAGTTGCTATGACCAGCAAAAGAGATCTGTTCTTTGTGGCTCGAGTGAATAAAATGAAACATCAGTATCTAGACCGAGGTTTGGATCTCAAGTGGAAGTTTCTACTGCCCTCTTGAATGCTGTGACAAGAACCAACAGACCCAGGAAAGGCGCAGCAGCTACCAGAGCTTCCTTGCACTTAGGCAAGAGAATAGAAAAAAAAAAAAACACCTGGATTTCATCTACCTCCCTCTTTACATATTTGTTCATATAACAAACAACTGTTGAGTGTACTACGCTGCAAGGCACTACTGAAAGGAGTAAAAACACAGGAACGTAAGCGGTATCTGCTTCCTCATTATAGACCGCTGCATTCACAGAAGGCATAAAAAGGGGCGGGGCCCAGAGAGTCACTCAGAGCTCACAGAACTCTTGTCTTTGGGCACCAAGGAGGTACAGAATGCCCACCACCAAAGTCTTTACACAGAGAAAGGCACTGAATGAGGCACGGGCCAGGCCCAAGGGCAATCAAGGTGACACACCCTACTGCCACCAGAGCTCTCCTCGCTGGGTCCCTTCAACTCTGTCTCAGAGCCAGCCATCTTTTGTTCCTATCAACCAACTTTACAATTTCCAGGACTGTTTATAAGCAGACCCCTGCAACAAATCAGCTCTTAGTCCAAACTCTCTTTAAAGGAAAATCAGAGGCTCTGACTCCAGAGGAAAAAAAGTAAGCCTCCCTCCTCACAGCTGGGTTAACCAAAGCTGGAACTCAAAGGCATATTGTTGAGAACAAGTCCCCAGTGTCTGGATCAGTACACAGTGTTTCTCATGGGAAGAAAAATCTCCATTGTGCCCCCACAGCGTCAGGTCCAGGCCGGGCCCTTCCTTGCTCTGCTGCCAACACCTCTCCCTGAAGCTGCTCCTGGGGACCGAGAAAGATGACCTGGCAGTGAGAACGAGTCATGAAAAGCTTTACCTGCTGGAATCTTTCCTTCCTTCTTTGGAGTTAGTTGCTAGAGTGGCAATTACCGGGAATTTGGAAGCCTCTGTTCAAGTTCCTGGGAATTCTAACTTTAGTTGATGCCAATGCTGCTGTGTGATGAAGGAAAAAAAAACTTTTTTAAATATTCATAAACTTCATTTCTACTCAAAGAAAAAAAAAAAGAGAGAGAACACATACTAATCAATACAATTAAGACTACAACTGGTACTTGGGTTGCACCCCTAGAGAGGTGAAAGGCAACTGAAATTTCTCCAGGTCAACCTTCCACCCAGTGTAAGAAATGGCTGCCTGGCTGGCTCAGTCAGTAAAGCATGCAACTCTTGATCTCAGGGTTGTGAGTTCAAACCCCACGAAAGAAAGGAAATAAAGAAAAGAAAGAAAAGACCTTCTCAAGTTCCCAATATTCTGACAGCTAACGTGCAAGAAACTCTCAAATTCAGCAGGGAGTCTGTTTCGTGGCTGCACAGCTCAGCCATCAGAGGTCTTCGGCTAGAGCTGAAAATCTATCCCCTTGGACCTTCACCTCACAGAGGCCTAGTACCCTATGGAGCTTCAAGAATAGAATCTTTTCTTTCCAGGCAACTGTTGATCAAACACTTGTAAACCACACTGATGCCCACTCTCTACAAACTTCTCTTCTTGGGGATAAATACCTTTAGCTCCTCTCATTATTCCATAGATTTCAGGTTCATCATCCTGCTTATCCTCCCCTGGAGTCTACAAATGCCATTCAGAACGTAAACATCCTTCTGCGTTCAATCCCACTTCAAAAGCCGATCAAATCAGGAATCTAACACAACTGAAAATGGGAGCCAGACACAGCTGTACCATTCCCCGTAAGAGACTCGATTTATTGAACGCCCGTAGGATTATTCCCGGGATCTCAGTTTGCACACTCTCCGCTCCTTCGCCCCATTCCAGACCAAGTTCTAAGTGCGAATACTTCGTTGAACTCCTCAGATCCTCAGACCCGTCTAAGTAAAAATAGACTTCCCCTGCCGCTGGCGCGAACAACCGCGTCAACAACAAATAAAAGCGTCTGGGAGAGTTACCAAGTTAGGGGCGCTGTCATCAGCTGTTCTAAAGAGAGGGACCCGTTTACAGCCATACTGGAACTTTTAAGTGCTCGAACTGGGCAAAGTCACAAAACCAGAACCGGAGCCCCTTTCCTCCCGTCCTGGCAGGGCCCCGTTTGGAGGAAGGAAGCCCCGGGGGAAGCGGAGTCCAGGACCGGCTGCGGGGGACGGAGCGGCGCGTCCCGGCGCCCTGCTCAGGGCGGGCCTGGGGGCCCCGCGGGCCGCAGCGGCGCGGACACCACCCCCTTCCCCGGCGACCACAGTCTCCGTCTCACCGCGAGCCCCGCGGGCGGCCGGACTCACCCTGGGGGCAAGGACGGGAGATCTGGGGAGCCGGACACGGACCAGGCCGTGTCGGACCCTGTCACAGACCCACACACCGGGACAGAACAAAGAACGGAAGTTCTCTCTGTTTCGCTTCCGGGTCGGCGCTTTTCACCGCCCACGCTATCCCCCGTGGCCCCGCCGCGCCCACTTGTTCTCTCTAGGAACATGGGAGGTGTTCTCCTCTCGGTGGTTTGGCGCCCTCGCCCATACCGGCCCTGGCTTTCCGGCCCGCCGCCGCGCCCCCTGTTGGCTGGGCCAGGCGAAGAGCCGCGTACCTCGGCCTCTGAGCGCGTGCTCGGGTGCCGCTGACCCCCGAGCAGGCGACGGGGGCGGCCGGGGTCCCCCACGAGCTGCCGAAGGCAGGGGCGAGCGCACCTTGCCCCAGCGACCGGGGTCCCGAGCCGACCCGCTGCAAAAAGCAAGACTTTCGAAGTCTTCATCAATAGAAAAAAAAAATCACCTTTATTTGAAATTCCCAAATAGACCAAGTTTATGCTTCAAAAACCAAGTTTTGTGTTTGTTTCATGTAAAAATGCCCCCTTTAAATTACTAAAATCTGAGAAGCCATTGCAGCCCGTCAGAGAGTTACCGTAAAGACAAAACCTGCCCAAGTTGATGGGAGAGAAAAGTCGGGGAAGTTACCGATGGATGCATCCGAAGAAAACAAAACAGGCGAAGCCCCCCTGCAGGTACCAAATGTGTGAAATGCTTGAAGGAATGAGGGGGAGGCTTCCCGTTTCCCTCACTTTTATGCCCTCACTGGAGGATCCCTGTAAGTGTCCGGAATCAAATCCTTACAAAAAAGAGACCTTGTGATATCCTGCTCAACGAGGGCCCTCCTGACTCCCCTTGTAGCCCTGCCTCCCATTTGATCCCAGCTTTCACTACATCCAGTATTTACGGTGCCCATGGTCAGCTCTGCGATTGCAACAGAACTTACTCTCCACTGACTTGCAGTCTAAGAGCCATAATTTAAATAACCAATTCCAAGAAAACATGATAAGTGCTAGGTAAAGGAGACTTTCCAGAAGTGTTGCAGGCCCTGGAGGGGAAGGGAGGTGCAACAGACAGAGGGAACAGCCAGGGCAAAAGGCCTGGAGGCAGGACAGAACAATGCACTAGTAACGCATATAACTTGTGCGTGGCCTGAGAAGGGTGGGGCCCATACCCAGTCCTTCTAGACCACAGTGAGATTTTGAGCAAATACTTGGCATATCCAAGCCACTCAGTAAACTCAATACCCACCCACACCCCCCACCAAAACAAAACAAACACACACAACCCCTGTTTTTTTGTTTGTTTTTTTTTTAATCTCTTCATTCTGTTTTCTTCCACTCCTAACCTCAGGGACAAGAAGTTCAAGAGCTATGGAAGGAGGCAGTGGCAAGCAGAACAGGGAAGGGTGGAAATAGAGGGAGTCTCTTCAAAATGGGATTGTTCTGTAAAAGGTCTCCTAATGCCAATCCAAGGGGAACAGCTCTTAGACTCCCAGCACCTTCAATGCAATCAGCTCTATTACTCTGGGGCTCAGAAGTCAATTTGTAACTTACGTGGGCATTTGCCCCAGAGCCCAGCCACTTGGGTAATTCTCAGCTAGTTCTCAAATGCCACACTCTTAACGATTATTCTTCTGAGTCCATGATCTCTATAGTGCCATGAATCACCTAAGGGACTCTCAAAGCAGTCCACCAAGGTGGGAAAGAAAGCTGAATTTTGTAAAGCTTTTACCTAAAACAAAGAGAAAAAATGGAGTAAAAAGGTAAGCCTTCCCAAAAGTCAATAGGAGGGCATGCACTAGTGGCCTCACTGGGGGGTTTCGTGTCAGACTATACCAGTCTTCAGACAAGGATATGAGCAACCTGGCAGGTAGGTATGGGGGATGGAGAACACAAATATTCTCAGAGAGTGTGTGTAGACAGCTAGTTTTGAGAGATTCAATTTCCAGAGTCTTACTTTTTTTTTTTTTAACGTTTATTTATTTTTGAGACAGAGAGAGACAGAGCATGAACGGGGGAGGGTCAGAGAGAGAGACGGAGACACAGAATCTGAAACAGGCTCCAGGCTCTGAGCCATCAGCACAGAGCCTGACGCAGGGCTTGAACTCACGAACCGCAAGATCATGACCTGAGCCGAAGTCGGACGCTTAACTGACTGAGCCACCCAGGTGCCCCCAGAGTCTTACATTTTCTATCTGTACATCTTTAAAATTGCTCCCTTGGAAAACATCCCTATGGCCAGGGTGCCCTCCTTCACAGTCATCTTCCCTCCTGGTAGAAGATAGCTAGGCTTCTTTACCCCTAAATCTTACAGTGATGTATTGATCTGGGGTGTCAAACCTTTTGGGGTACCAAGCAAAAGGATTCATTTGAAATACTGCTGCCAGTAAGGATTAGGTGAACAAATCCTTTGTGATTCAAGTGGTTTCCTATTATTTCCTGTCTCAGACTATGAATCTGGAGTTCTCTTGTCCAGCAAGAAAGCGGGCACAGAATTAAAGAGGCTAATGTCTATGGGGAGACAAGAGCCCTGAGTAAGGGTCCTTTCTCATATTTATTAGGATCTTGAAAGCTTAGATATGTGATGGACCTGCAGAAAGTAAAACAGTAATCATTAACTTGTGTGTGAGAGATAAAGGGTCTCAGGGACACACGTTGTTAGAGGTTAGGGTCAAAACATAACCTCTCGGTGCTACACAGATGGCCATTTCCTGCAGGCCCTGCATCTGGTTATCTGTCTTTTCTAAGGACTAAGATAAATGGAGCATGCTATCCTGAGAACCCTAAGTTACTCAAGATTCCATTATGGCCTGTATATCATTAGCTGTTCTCGGATGTTTTGGTCCTGTTAAGGCGGCTTTCCACCCTATGCCTTTTTAACCCATTTGTGTAAGCATAGAGAATTTTTAAACCTATTTCCCATAACTTCCCTCCAGTAAAAGGAGAGGACAAAACCATTTCTATTGTAAATCACAGTGTGATTTTGCCATGTAAAATCAACACTGCTATAACTATATTCCTTTTGCCACTCATCTCCTCTATGTGGGCAGGATTTCCCAATATTTACGTCTATAAAAGCAAAAGTAGGGGGTGGTGCCTGGCTGGCTCAGTCTCTAGAGTATGCAACTCTGGATCTCTGGTTGTGCGGTTGTGCGTTCAAGCCCCATGCTGGTCTTTAAAAGAAAAAAAAAAAAGCTTTAAAAAGGAAGAAAATTTTAAAAAGAAAAAGCAAAAGTGGGAATAGATTTAATACTTTATTCTAGTAGTAGGTAATGCCCATCTATTGAGAAAAGCAAGACAGTTCCCTCAATCTCAGTGAGGTAAATTCTAATAAACATAACTTCTTGTTTATTAATCATAGATCAGATTTGTTATATGTTTATATTTTTCTCGATTGTGAAGTAATAGTTATAATGATAACCCAAACCAGGAGAAAATTTTAAAGCCTTGCATTCATACAAAATCCAGTATTAATTAAATTTGTTTATATTTAATTTTTTGCAGCAAATTATGTTAATCAGTTATCAATAAAATACTGACCTTATTTCATCTACAATCCCACACATGCTCCTCCTGATTATTTTGAAGCAAACCCCAGACATGTTTATCTGTAAATATTTCGTTATAATTACCTATATAAGGACTCTTGGAAAAATAACTGATACCATTACCACATCTAAAATATTTAATAACTTTTAAAATATTATATATGGAGCCAGTGATCAAGTTTCCCTCATTGCCTCAAAATTTTTAATTTGTTATAATTCTGTTTGAATTGTGATCCAAATAAGGTCAATATTGAGATCAGATGATATGGATCTTAAGTTTCTTTTAATCTATGAATTCTCTTTTCATCTTATTTTTCTTCCTTGTGATTTAATATAAAGGATGATTTATCCTGCAGTTTCCCACTGTCTGAAGTCACCTGTCTCCCTGCATTGTCCTATTACATGTTCTTCAGGCCCTTATATTTCCTATAAATTGGTGATTAGATCTATACCAGAGGCTAAAAGACTTTAAATTTCTATACTTTAGTTTTATGGATTTTGAATACAATTTTAATTTTTTGTTTCAGTCAACTTTTGCATCTGCAATCAGAGGCATGAATATACATAAAAGACTTTATCTCACTGTAAAAGGGGTGTATACTTCAGGTTTGTGCACTTGCTATTTGTATACTTCAATCAACAATAACAAAATAACTGTCCCCCATAAAGCCTCTTAAATATGCACCCAGGAAACACTTGAAAATACAATTTCTAGGGGCGCCTGGGTGGCGCAGTCGGTTGAGCGTCCGACTTCAGCCAGGTCACGATCTCGCGGTCCGTGAGTTCGAGCCCCGCGTCAGGCTCTGGGCTGATGGCTCGGAGCCTGGAGCCTGTTTCCGATTCTGTGTCTCCCTCTCTCTCTGCCCCTCCCCCGTTCATGCTCTGTCTCTCTCTGTCCCAAAAATAAATAAAAAACGTTGAAAAAAATTTTTTTCAAAAAAAAAAAAAAAGAAAATACAATTTCTAATCTATTTAAAAATATTCCACTATTAGTGGCTGGAATTATTTTGTGGATCTGTCTACTTCTCATTATCAGTATTCCCTCTCCTCCAGCCCTCACCAGAGTCTCTGAGAGCAGGGACACTGACCGTCTCATCTGGCACGGTAATCCTCCAAAATCTAGAACTGCCTGACACTTAGCAGGTGTTCAACAACAACTGTGCAATAACAAATAAGGAAGTAAATATTTATGGAATTCTTTGTTTCCTTCCAATATGCCCTCAAATATATATAAACTATGCCCCAGATATTGCATGAGACATTATTATTATTATATTAAAAATTATTTGTTGCTCACCTGAAACTCAAATTTAACAGGTCACCCTGCATTTAATCTGGTAACCCTATCTCCACTGAAACTGTACTTGTTGAAATCAAGGGGAGTGATATTTAGCTCACTTCCCTGAATTCGTTATACATGTGTTCACATTCTTCTTTGAGTTAATAGAATTCTGCAGCTCCCGCGGGAATAATTAGGTACACTTCTTCCCCCTAATTCTTTAATTTGACAGGATCCTAAGAAATGTAACTTTAGTGACTTTGGGACTTTATGGGATCTTCCATTCTTTCATGTTAGTCAAACCATGAAGTTCTTAAGGAGACTTAAATTTGTATTTGCCTATTTTGCATGGCTTTGCCTAACTCAAGATTGAAACTTACAGTCTTTTTGCTGTTTCCTTTGAGTCAGAAAATACTTCCTCATCGATTATTTTAAATTATTAATTTCTATCCTCATCAATATTGTAAAGTAGTCCATAATACCAATGTGTTTGAATAACAAGAATCAACAGAACTACTTCTCATTCTGGAAGAGATTCCAATGGCCATTCTTTTATTATTAGTTTTACTGTTTATTTTTGAGAGATACAGACAGACAGACAGAGACAGACAGACAGACAGAAGGTGAGTCAGGGAGGGGCAGAGAAGACGCACAGAATCCGAAGCAGGCTCCAGGCTGTCAGCACAGAGCCTGACGTGGGGCTTGAACTTATGACCTTGAGTTCATGACCTGAGGTGAAGTCAGACACATAACCAACTGACTGAGCCACCCAGGTGCCCCTCCAATGGCCATTCTTTTAGAATACTTGATACCAACTTTTTTATTTTTGTTAATCATTGTAGACTCTGGCTTTTTAGACTAAATATATGACAATCAACCTCAGCCAATATTCTCTTTGATGCTCAAATTGTCACTATTTTGGCCAATGTGAACTCATTTTAGGTTGATCCTTATGTCATTTCAATATAACCTCATTAAATATAAAAGCTTTTGGTACAACAAAATTGGCAGGCTCACCTTATTTTTCTCTTTGTAAAACTAGCTATTTCTCCAAGGAACACTGGTGCAGGGTTAAGGGAAAAGAAAAATATTCATCTCGGGGTTCCCGTTATTTCTGGGTAGTTGCTCATGGACAGAAATTTAAAAAGATAGGTATTAAATTTTTCTTATTGTGAAGAAAGGAGTTAATATTCATACTGCCAATCCAGTTTTACTTAAATTCTTAATCCCACAACTATACTCCTTCCTTTACCTTTTACTGGAATACCATCTTCATTCTTTAAAAATGTTTGAGGGGCGCCTGGGTGGCGCAGTCGGTTAAGCATCCGACTTCAGCCAGGTCACAATCTCGCGGTCCGTGAGTTCGAGCCCCGCGTCGGGCTCTGGGCTGATGGCTCAGAGCCTGGAGCCTGTTTCCGATTCTGTGTCTCCCTCTCTCTCTGCCCCTCCCCCCGTTCATGTTCTGTCTCTCTCTGTCCCAAAAATAAATAAACGTTGAAAAAAAAAATTAAAAAAAAAAAATGTTTGAGAGTGCAGGCACCTGTACACACACGCACAGTGAGCAGGGCAGGGGCAGAGAGAGAGGGACAAAGAGAGAAACTCAAGCAGGCTCCCCGCTATCAGCGCAGAGCCCCTGGGGCTCGATCCCGCTCATCTCGAGATCATGACCTGAGTGGAAATCAAGAGTTGGATGCTTAACCGACTGAGCCACTCAGGAGCCCCTAATTTGTTATTATTTAAATAAATGCCATTAAAAATAAAGTACTGGGAAATACTATGAAAAGTATATATAAAAAATTTGAGGGGCACGTGGGTGGCTCAGTCGATTAAGCTTCTGACTCTTGATTTTGACTCAGGTCATGATCTCATGGTCATAGGACCAAGCCCTGTGTCAGGTTCTGTGCTGGGTGTGGAGCCTGATTGAGATTCTCTCTCTCCCTTTCTCTCTGCCCCTCCCCTGCTCGCACTTGCTATCAAAAAAAATTTTTTAGAAATATTCTAACACATGACAGAAAAGGTCCTAAGGTTTTTAACATATAAAGAGCTTTCATAAATCAAGAAGACAAAGACGAACAACTCAACAGAAACAAGACAAAGAATACAAGGAGACATTTCACAAAAAGAAAAGCAACTGGCCAATAAAGATAAGAAAAACACATGTTCACCATCACACATTTTAAAAATTAAAATATTTTCTATTAGCTTGGTATAAATTTAAAGTTTATATATATATACCTTTAACAAGTTATATATTTAAGGTATATAACATGGTAAATTTTGTGTATTTTACAACTTTAAAAAGTTGGAAAAAATGATTGAAATGTGTGTATTGGCTGATATTACAAATGTAGTATTAGAGTCAAAATTGGCTTATTCATTTAAAATCATGTTTTTGTATCATACACTTTATTAATTTTTTTAATGTTTATTTTTAAGAGAGCAATAGAGCGTGAGTGGGGGAGGGGCAGACAGGGGGAGACACAGAATCTGAAGCAGGCTCCCGGCTCTGAGCTGTCAGCAGAGAGACCGATGCAGGGCTTGAATTAATGAACCGTAAGTTCATGACCTGACGTTTAACCAACTGCGCCAGCCACCCAGGTGCCCTTTGTATCATACACTTGAACTGTATTTTAAGTCACTGTAGGTAGACTAGCTGGGGTAAAATTAAGCCATTACATAGAAATGTGGAGACCACTGTGTTATTTCCTATCTCAAGATAGGTATCACCTTTCTCTCTCCTAGTAGTGGACAGTCTCCACCAAAGAGAAGGGCTGCAAGAGCTGCTGCCCTGATTCCGGGCTAGCCCTTAAGAGATTATTCTAGAAGAATGGATAAAGTCACAACGTGTTTCCTGGGATGCACAAAGCTGTCACCTCATCAGCATATATACATTCTATTGGTGTAACTGAGTCCCCTCGATTCATCAGACCACCGTGTTTGGGGAGACAAAGGGTTGGAAGGACTGCTGCCCACAAATGCCAGGGGTAAGACTGCCAGGTAAGATGCAGAATGCCCGGGGAGATTTGAATTTCAGATACACACTGAATAAATTTTTTAGTAGAAGTATGCCCCAAATGTTATTTATCTAGAATCCAAATGTAAGTCCTGTAAGTTTAGCTGTGTGATATGGGGGGTGGTATGCTCACAAGCACCTTCAGACCAAGACAGTCTGAAAGCCCCCTGGTGGCAGTGTTCTTCCTGGCCCACCAGGATTCAACCACTCTCCTAGAGCCAAGCAGGCACTCCACCTAACCACAGGTGGGCACTGAGACTCGAGCAGAGCTCCCGTATTCCCAGTTTCTCCCATTTGTTAGCTTGTTCTGCTCAGTAGATTTGAGCTGTAGTTCCCTACAGAAGCCCATTATTGGCTTTTCTCCCCCCTTCCCTTCCTGCTCCCTCATACCTGGCTTTCTTGAATCACCTCCCTAAATAAACTCTAGGCCTTCAAGTCCTTGTATCAGACTGTTTTAGGGAAATCCAAACTGTTAACAGTCAGTGCTGGAAGTGGCCCTAGAAACCGAGCCATCAGGATGAGACTTTGGGACAGGTCACTCACTGGTCAGATGGTTAGTAAGAGGAGCCTGGTAACGAGTGCAGTAGTGATAACCCTGGCATGCTATACCATGGAATTACCGAGATTCTCACTAGTTCTAGTAAGAGATGAGGTACAGGTAGAAGGGGAAGCATTAGCTTCTGGAATAGTCCCAGAACTTGAACATTACTGGGATAGTGGCAATTATTAGGACCGCGGAGTTTCTCAAGCTTTGAAGAAAGAAAATTATAGGCTTAGTTCAGCCAACTATCACTTCAGGAGAAAATTATAGGCTTAGTTCAGCCAACTATCACTTCAGGGCATGTTGTGGAAGCCAAAGTCACCCATGGGAGGGATCGGTGATCCCATCTGCAGCGAGAGCAGACTGGCCTGAAAACCAGGCACACGGTTTATTGCGAGGGGGTCAGAACTGCAAAGAAAGCTAAATGCAAAACCATGCCAAGTCATTTATGCCAAAATTCTGGGCCCTGATTGGGAAAGATTCAGATCCTGACGCATGGGACATCTGGGTAGGTGTGTCTGAGGACCTCAAACCCCAAATTCCCCAGAACCCTCCAGCCTAACAGACACATCTCCCTTCCCCCCTGCTGTAAGAGAGTAGCCTCTTTGTGCTTGGAGACTGTGCAAAAATCTCACCTGACGACAGTCAGGGAACAGACAGTATGGGCTAGAAGGAATCCTGTCGTATATTATTGACTTGCAGAGTTTAGAAGGAAGTTTCAGAGTCAGATTTTCAGACTACGGTAGAGGCAGAATATATATACACAATCAAAATGCACACGAGGCTGATGAATGTTTCCAGTGATGAAAAAATGTGTCCAGTGTGCAGAAAAAAAAATTAAGCGCAACACAGCCCAAGAGGCAGGTACTCTAGCTGCTCTACCCTGACTTCCCAATACGCACCTTCACAAGCACTGAAAGTTCTAATGACCTCAAATCCAAATTTTCCAAGAGCTACAACCAGGCAGGAACAGTTTCCTCTCTCTAGAATAGTGTTCAATAACCGACATACCATTTATTTCAACAGTCCTGAGGCATTACAAGATGTTACAAGTTTATTCCAAATCAGATTAAATTGTGCTCAGGTGGCTCAATTCTTTACAAATCATACTTCTTGAATATATGTTAAAACAGTTAAACAGTTTCAGTGTTTCTTCCTTAATTATATTGGATATACTCAGTTTAACTATAGAAAAGGCAATGCCGGCCTGGTTCAGGAGACCCAAAGTGTGGTGGGGGACCCCGTCCCAGCGAGCTGGCCAGTGGGCAGTGAGTACCCTGATGCCCTCCAGGACCTCCTCCTTCCCACTGTGCCAACACCCAAGCACTCATTCCTCAGGCACCCTTGACGTTGAGTGAAACAAAATCTACCACTAGAGTTTATAGCGCAATTACTAGGCTTCTCCCTAGGATCCGTATGCTAAAACTTGAAAAATCAAAAACCACTCAGAGAGCATGCTCAACACTTAAAGCACTTCTCCCTCTCCAGTGTGGACCCTCTGATGTTTGGAAAGATTGGACTTACTACAGAAGGTTTTTCCACAATGATTACACCAATAGGGCTTCTCCCCAGTATGGATTCTATGATGTTTATTAAAATTTGAGCTGTGGTTGAAGGCCTTCCCACACTCCTTACATTTATATGGCTTCTCTCCAGTGTGGAGTCTCTGGTGTGAACTAAGACCCGCGTGCTGACTAAAGCTCTTCCCGCACTCGTTACACTGGTAAGGTTTCTCCCCAGTGTGTATCCGGTAGTGTCGAATGAGGCTGCCTTTACCACTGAAAGCTTTCCCACAATCTTTACACTGATATGGTGCCTCTTCAGTGTGCATTCGCTGATGTTTAAGGAGGTCTGAGCTCTGACCAAAGGCTTTCCCACACTTACAGTCATAGGGCCGGTCCACCAAGTGTGTTCTGTAATGAAGGGTGAGGTTTGAACTGTGGCTGAAAGCTTTCCCACATTTGGTGCACACATATGGTTTCTCCCCAGTGTGTGTTCTCCGGTGTTTAGTAAGATTTGAGCTATTACTAAAGGCCTTTCCACACTCGGCACAAATGTAACGCCTCTCTCCTGGGGTAGGTTTAGCGGGAATCAATTCTCTGCCTTTCTTAGAACCTTTGTCTAGGAGAGGAGTTTTTGTTCCTCTTTCCTTTTCAAGGTTTACCCACTGCCTTTCTAACCTGGACTCACATTTACTGGCAATAATCACAGGAATAATATCCCTTTTGAATTCTTGAGATTCTTCAGAACTTTTCTGCTTCTCTGTCGATTCCTCATTCTGGGTGTTCGATTTATGATCTGAAACAATAAGTAGAAAAAGAACATGTCAGTTGTGTTGTGTTCTGAGAAGCAACTGTTAAAGGAAAAATTGAAATGTCAGATGATGTGGATGGGTTTTAAGGGGTGACCAAGTATCACTCTGTGAGAGGTCACAGTATCACAGATACACAAAGTCACCATCAGATCTAGTATACGGTACCAGGCTTTCACACAAGGCCACGACTAGTAGTTGTTAGGATATAACGAGTACACAGCCTCCTCTGCCAGGAGAAGATCTTCACAAAAAGAGGGCAGTAAGGCAAAAACCAGGCTGCTGAGACAGCAACGAAGGAGATGGTGATGCCCAGGCGGAAAGAAACAAGTAAGAAGTATTACTGAATGGTTGAAGTTGACTAAGGAAAATAAAAAGGGTAATAAAGGAGACCAGGCTAGTGGCAAACTCACCTTCTCACAGAAGTGGAAAAGCAACAAAAGAGGACATTCGGTCCATATTCGATCATTCTAGTCCCAGATCATTCTTCTTTTTTTTTTTTTTTTAAATTTTTTTTTTCAACGTTTATTTATTTTTGGGACAGAGAGAGACAGAGCATGAACGGGGGAGGGACGGAGAGAGAGGGAGACACGGAATCGGAAACAGGCTCCAGGCTCTGAGCCATCAGCCCAGAGCCCGACGCGGGGCTCGAACTCACGGACCGCGAGATCGTGACCTGGCTGAAGTCGGACGCTTAACTGACTGCGCCACCTATTTATATTAAATAGGCGCCCCTATTTAAATGAAAGTGCTAACCTGCCATTAGAGTTTGACTCTCATCATGTAACCTACAGTGGCTATGTCTTACAATTCTTTTAGTTCTAAAGTTAATACTCCTGAAATTATATTGAAGCAATATATCTTCTTTAGAGCACTGCACTAGGCAGCAACACTTACAAGTCCATCTAATCTGTCCACATACATGGAAAAGGGGACTAAGAGAAATCCACACTGAACCACGGGCTCCCTGTGAGAACTGTCAGCCCTCCGTGAGTACAAGAGCCTCAATCAACAAGGTACTTTCCTCTCAGCCCCTTCCCTGGTCCCTGGCTCTCTCTCTCCACTCAACCCATCTATTTCCTTCCACGTTCACCCCCTACTTCCTGTCTGCTGGGGACCCCAGCAGCAGTAGATAAAAGTCCCTTTCATTCTCTGTGATGAGCAGTCACACTTGGCTACATGTACAGATTTTCCCTAAAGTTGCCATGTACTATGTGTGGGAAATAAGTAACTAATACATAAGCTAAAAAAAAATTTTTTAAGTTTATTTACTTATTTTGAGAGAGGGGCAGAGAGAGAGAGGGAAAGAATCCCAAGCAAGCTCCATGCTGTTAGCACAGAGCCTGATGCAGGGCTCGATCTCATGAAGTGTGAGACCATGACCTGAGCTGAAATCAAGAGTCAGATGCTTAACCAAATGAGCCACCCACGTGCCTCTAAGCTAAAAATTTTAAATAGCCTTATGAACTGGAAGCTGAAAAGAATTTACTAGGGACCATTTCTGCATAATCCAATGCTCATGTTAACAGGTTCACCCAATTATTAACAATATTAACAAATAAACAAGCATCATCTCTTACTGGTCATTCAACCTGTCACACCTCTGTGAACAGTCTCCTTTTTTACATTTTTAAAATGTGTATTTATTTTGAAAGAGAGAGAGAGAGAGGGAGGGAGAGAGGGAGAGAAAGCACTACTGGGGAGAGGCAGAGAGAGAGAAAATCCCAAGCAGGCTCCTCACTGCCACCACAGAGTCCAACGTGGGGCCTGATCCCATGAATCATGAAATCATGACCTGAGCTAAAATCAAGAGTGGGGAATGGACTGAGCCACCCAGGGGCCCCGAACAGTCCCTTTTTTAAACTCACTTCAACCCACCCTTTCAAGAGAAGAGGATGTCATGTTCCCTTGCTAGGACTCTGGCTGAGATGCACCTAGGGATGAAAGGCACTCAGGCACTCATTCTGCCTCCGCAGCCAGACCAGGCAAGTCAGTCTAGGGCACTGCCTTGCAACCGGGAATTAGAATTATTCTGTTTCTTTCACCCCAAAGGCCCGGGGCACCAAGCAGGTGGCATGACAGACAGCCCCTACCTTGACTCTGTTTCAGCTCTGGAGTGAAATCCTGCTCTTCCCCAGTCTCCTGAATGTACAAGGGCTCCCAAGCTTCGCATCTGTGACTGGTCTCCACAGACTGGGGCTGCACACTGCTTGGAAACTTTGCCGTTCCTGAAGAGGACCTCTTCTCCCACATCTGTTTCTGCTCACTTGGAGGCGGTGAGGCCTAGAGACAATGAGGAATGATGGAGTTTATGCACAGCTCACCTTGGAACTACAATGGGTCTGAACTACCCAGGTCCACTTAAACACGCATCTCTTTTTTGAGACATACAATACAGTAAATGTGTCTCTTATGATTTTAAGGCTTTCCTTTCTCTAGCTTACTTTATTACAAGAATGTAGTATAGAATACATATAACATACAAAGTAAGTGTTAATTGACTATGTTATTGGTAAGGTTTCTGGTCAACAGTAGACTATTTAGAAGTTTCAGGGGAATCCAAAGTTATATTGGGATCCTCAAATGCACATGTCCTGGGGAGGCGGGGCTGACACCCCTAACCTCTGTGTGGTTCAAGGGTCAACTGCAGAATGAAAGAACACCAGGAGAGCTAATGTACAACCTCTAAGGGAAAAAAAAAGGAAACCCATCCATCTCATTCAACTCCCATAGCTAAAGATCAATACTGGACGGTAGAAGAAATACAGGAGGAAACACAGTGTAAGTCAGCAGAAACTTCCATTCAGCTACTCTCATTGGATGGACAAACCCAGCCTGCCCCGAATGCTATGCTCTCAATCTCATAGCAGAAAAGGTCTCCCCAGCCTACCTGCTGCCCTGGCTCGTCCAGTTCTCGCTCCAGATCTTCTAGGAGAGTGACGGCCTCTTCAGCGCTCTCCGGGCAGTGCTCCTGCACCCAGGCCTGGAGCTCCTGGGGCAGGATGCTCAGGAACTGCTCCAGCACCAGCAGCTCCAGGATCTGCTCCTTGGTGTGGATCTCGGGCCTCAGCCACTCACAGCAGAGCACCCGGAGCTGGCTCAGGGCCTCCCGGGGGCCAGGTGTGTCATGGTACCCAAACTGCCGGAAGCGCTGGCGGAACACCTCCAGGCTAGGAAGGCACTTCCCTTCCTCTTCCTCATCTTTAACCACCACAGGCCCCCTCTCCCGCGGAGGCCGAGGAATCCGAACTGCAGCCATGCCTAAAACCTTGGTCATCACACAGATTCCAGAAACAGCCTCACTACGGATGGGACTATGTGGAGCAGGAATAGTGGTTCCTTTGGGTTTCTGGATCTTTAGGGCTACACGTTAAACCTGAGAAAATACGGTTACCATAAATTACAAAAAGAAAAAAAGGATGCTTTTTAGGTCTTTACAGCCACACTGTCAGCACAACAAATTGTGGAAATTGTGGCCACCACAGAACTATCACATAAAAATAATTGTCCAAAATCATTCAAGAGTCAGCTCAGGATATCCTACTTCAATTTTACTGTCTCCACTCTGATAAAACGTACACTATGGCATAATTTTAAAATTAAATTTATTATTTTTAAAAATTTCAATTTGTACATAATTTTTTTTTAATTTGAGAGAGAGAGAGAGAGAGAGAGAGAGAGAGAGAGAGAGAGAGAGAGAGAGAGACACTGAACACAGTGGGGAGAGGAACAGAGGGAGAGAGAATCTCAAGCAGGCTCAATGCTCAGTGTGGAGCCCAATGTGGGGCTGGATCCCACAACACTGGGATCATATGTTAGCTCAGCTGAGATCAACAGTGGGATGTTCAACCAACTGAGCCACCCAGGGACCCCTAAAATTAAATTTAAATTAACTTTGCTCTAAAACCTGTTTCAGAATCTTACAACTCCTGAGACTTCAACAGGATACCTACAGGCCAACTGCAGCCTGTCTAAATCCAAGACTTTGAGATTCAACATTAAAAATTTGTTAGTCAAGGGCACCTAGCTGGCTCAGCCGGTGGAGCATGTGACTCTTGGTCTCAGGGTCATGACTTCGGGCCCCATGTTGGGCGTAGAGCCTACTTAAAAAAGACAAGTGAATGACAAATTAAACTAAAAGTAACCTATATTCTTACAGAGGTATTTATTTTGATGAGATATGTATTGTTGAGAATAGGTAAAAATTAAGTCATAGCAAATGATACCAAAAAATGCTTAAAGTATTTTTCTTTTAAATACTAAATATTCTAATTATCTGTCAGTCGATACATTAGAACACCAAAAACATCTGTAGTAAATGTAATTACTTCTTTTTCCCCCACTTGCCCAAAAAATGAAGTCCCTTCACTCAACATGGACTTGAATACCTGCCACGGGCTTTGAGCTGGGACTGCAGTGATGAGTAAGACAGATGTGCTCTCACCCCCACAGGGCTTTCAAGTCTGTGGGGGAGACGGAAAGTATAGGAGTAAACAGACAACAGAATCAGACTATACAATTAGTGGCATTCATGAAGTATACTCTGAAAGAAACCTGCATGAATTAACCTTACATGCTTGTGACTGGCCTTCCTAAGCATGTTTCCAAACTTTAGGCAGCATCTGTCAGGTCACGTAGACGTCCCATTCCAGGTTTGGACAACTGAGAGCAGGACAACTCCAGCAGTCTCAGTGAAGAGCCAAACGGATAAAAATCTACACAGGTTTTCGTTACATGAAATGATAATGGTAACAAGGAGAGAGACCATAGAAAGGATGTACAAATAGCTCGCAGAAGATGAGAACATAGAGGCGTCAAAGATAACCTAAATCTAAGGCATTTGAAAACTTCGGTATGAAAAAAATAAAAACGAAAATAAAAACTTGAGTATGCTGATGGCTGACATGCACATCCACCTCTGGCCTGATGTCACTCTAAGTGGCAAGTCTCACATACATCCCCATAATCACAACAAAGGAAAAAGGATAAAACACAAACAGTGATATTGCTGGGTTATAGATGAATTCAATTTTTAAAATTCTTTTCTTCATTTTCTAAATTTTCTACAATGGGTATTATTACTTTTATATCAGAAAACCTTTAAGGACAAACCAAATTGGTTTTACTACTAATCCAACAACTTCATGGACTTCCAAACAAACAAACAAACAAACAAAAAAGCAATCACAGACCACGCAGAACGCCCCCAACAAATGCACATCTATGTTAACAGCTTTTGTTTTTTTAAGTTTTTTATTTTACTAATCCCTACCCCCAACGTGGGGCTCGAACTCATAACCCTGAGATCAAGTTGCACGCTCCAGCTAAGTCAGCCAGGTGTCCCTAGTATGTTACTGAAGTATTACTTTCACACATTTAATGAACACACATTAAAAACATACATTTTCTATGACTGCTCTCCACTGATTTTTGTGACCAATTCTGATAATTTTATTTTTTATTTATGTTTAATTCTAGTAATTCTAAAAAATATAAAATGGGATCCTACAACTAGAACCTCAATATATAACTTTTCATGAAAATTTCAATAATTATCAGCTACTAATTAGTTGAGACTTCTAGGGATGCCGGTACTTGGGATTCCTCTCCACTGTACCCCAAATCTGAAGCATCCTAGGAGATATCAACAGGCGTCTTGACAGGGTGGACCCAAATCAGCAGCACGTACTCCCTCACGCTGCTCTGCACACCCAATACACTTCTGGAGCTCCCAAGTTCAGAATAACTTGAAAAAAGCCAGGAGAGAAGCACACCATCTAGTTTCCTAAATAAAGGCACTAACACAAAAGGCTAAAATGACCTTAAAATAACAGATGGAATAGTGCTGGGAGCATTCATTTGAAATGCTTAAAAGTAGATCTCTGCAGTGCTGAAATACCTTCTCATAACTGGTTACAAAATTTCACACTCCACTCACAGAAGTGCATACCTAGAATAGGAAAGACACTGGAATCTGTTTGGGTTGCTCAGCTTCTGGGATCAAGCCTGGGAAACTCAGCAAGGCACAAGGGAGGAATTACTTAGCACAGGTGGCATTCAACAGGAAGTGACCTGTATCAGATTCATGTGGATCTGTTCCCAGAATGGCATATCCAATCTCACAGATCACATAACTACCTCTGCAAAGCATGTACATAGTCACATTTAAAGAAAAAAAAGGTGGAGTGCCTAGTTGGCTCAGCCGGTAGAGCATGCGACTCTTGACCTCGGGGTTGTGAGCTCGAGACCTACATTGTATGTGGAGATTATGTTAAAAACAAAAAAAAATTCTTAAGAAGAAAAAGTTTCCCTTGGATGCTGCCCACAACTCAAATCCGTGTCTTTGCAAGACCTCAAATGAGTGGAGGGATAGGCGCTTGGACCACTTCATCCCTGCTGCATTCATTCTCCCCAGAGATTTCACCCAGTCACATGGCTCTAATTACCATCCACGTACTCCCAACCACCAATTAATCTCCAGCCCAGAGCTCTCTTTTGAACTCTAGACTCATGTGACCAACTACGTACTTGACGGTTAATGGCGACTCCATCATCCTGTTTTCTTGGAACAAAAAACCTGGTTATCCCAGACTCCTTCTCATTCTACATATAATTCATAAGCGAATCCTGTGAGCTCTACGTCCAAAAGATCCAATGTTCAACCAATTCGCACTACCTCCAGTACTGCATCCCAGCCCCTCCCCTACTTGCCTGGAATATTGCAAGAGCCTCCTAAGTGCTTCCACCCCTGCCCCTGGGTCTAGTGCCAACAAGCAGCCAGAGCAACCCTGTTAACATACAAGTCAGGTCATACCATTCTTCTGCTCATGCCTTTCGAGGCAGTGTCTCCTAGAGTAAAGGGCAAGGTCATCACAATGGCCAGCAAGGCCTCATGAGGTCTCAGCTCTGTTGCCCGTCTGACTTCGTCTTCTACTTCTCTCTTGTTCATTGACCCCAACCACATTGTCCCTTGAACACGTGAGGCAAGCTTCCCCCCTCAGAGCATGGCGTTCCCTCTGCGGAATGCTTCCTCCAGATTATATATGGCTGGCTCCTTCAGGTCTGTATATGTTCTCGCCAAGGCATCCCTGACCCCATATTTTAAACTGCACACAGCTCTTGCTCATCCCAGAACTCCTTATGCTAATTTACTCTCTTCCACATCACTTACCTCCATACATATACTATATATTTTACCTTTTTTTTTTTTTAAACCGCCTGTTTCCTTCTTGGATACCAACTCCTGAGGGCAGAGACTTTCATCCGTTTTCTTCACTGCTATATTCCAAACATCTACAATACACCTGGTATTTTGCAGGTACTCAAATATCTGTGGGAAGAATGAATGTGATATATGGATCTTTGGGTGTACTCATGGAATAAAAGCTGTAAAATCAGGCTTAAAAAATATATCAGTACAGGGGTGCCTGGGTGGCTTAGTCAGTTAAGTGTCTCACTTCGGCTCAGGTCATAATCTCACCATTCATGAGTTCGAGCCCTGTGTCGGGCTCTGTGCTGACAGCTGAGAGCCTGGAGCCTGCTTCAGATTCTTTATCTCCCCCCCACCCCCGCCCCCCTCCCCCGCCGTCCCTCCCCTGCTTGCACTGTCTCTCTCTCTCTCTCTCTCTCTCTCTCTCAAAAATAAATAAACAGGGGTGCCTGGGTGGCTCAGTCGGTTGAGCGACCAACTTCGGCTCAGGTCATGATCTCACGGTCCGTGAGTTCGAGCCCCGCGTTGGGCTCTGTGCTGACAGCTCAGAGCCTGGAGCCTGCTCCTGATTCTGTGTCTCCCTCTCTCTCTGCCCCTCCCCCACTCATGCTCTGTCTCCCTCTCTCTCAGAAATAAACATTAAAAATAAATTAAAAATAAATAAACATTAAAATTTTTTTTTAATTATCAGTACAAATTTAGGCTAAAAAAATATGGCAGCATCAACTCATACTTAGTTTACAGATACAGGTGAATACAGAATTAGTGTGTGTACACAAGTTAGTATGCAGACATTGATTTCCTAGTTCTGTCTGCCGTGAAGGTTTAGAAGCAATGACATCCTGCAATTAGCATACCCAGAGCCCAGATCTTGGTTTCTCCAATAAAAAGAACTAGAAAATGGAAAAATGGCTGATTCTAGGTTGGGGAGCATACAAAATGAGCCTGGAGCATCCTATAGTGACACAAAGTTAAAAAACAAAACAATGGGGCATGTTAAAGGGACACAGGAGCCAACTTGGGGGCGGGGGGAAGCTCTCAATAGCTACAACTAAAACAATCTGAGCAACAAAATACAGTAGTGGATTATAACCTGAAATGTGAAATAAGTATCTGTGAATCCATACAATGTTAAAAAAAAAAAAAGGTGACTGAATAAA